GTAGAACCTTATGTGGGCTCCTTGTGACCTGCTCATAGTTTGCGCGAAAGGAATCCCACCTCTCACGGTATCCGAGGTCTCTCGTCGTATAACTCAGTGCCCTCGGGAATAATGTGATGTTCTGAATGAATTGAAAGCAATCACACCTTGTCGCCGCCGCAGGAGGCAACATGATCTGCGAGTGAATCGGGACAAACTGCTGTTCAGCAGACATTGAAGCGCTATTTAGGAGGCATCGGCAGCGACCGACGAGAACTAGCAAGGTGCCCCCACGAAACCGAAATGCGCCAATAAAAGTGGTACGGCAACCAACCTTTGAATAAAACTCGATATCATCACGTTCAATATCCTTTATCACCATTATTTTCATTTTAGCCAGAAAATGCAATGACAGTTCATTAACAGCATCTCTGGAAATGGAAAACGCCGTAAGAGTGGCACTCGTTGCGCTCAATGGGTCAAAAGGACTGAAATCAAACCTGAGGATGCTTTTTTGAATCAGGAGAACATTGCAGCCTGCCTTCTTAATTTGCTTGCACAGATCGAGTAAATACTGACGTTCTTCTTTGAGAGCGCGATCCATTTGGGTATAATCAGAAATGATTACTTGATTCTCCATCTAAAGGAGCTAACAATGGAAATATCTTAAAGGATTAATTATGAAGTGAAAATGAACCCATAATTCCTCACGTCTGTCTTAGGTGGACTGAGCTGGAATTGAATTAAACCAATTTTGGCCTTCTCAACGCGAGTTGGTCCTCCACGTCCCATTGTCTTCTGGTCAATCAGAGCTCCATCAATCATCTCAGATTCCTGGAACAACATCTCACATATTGCCTGGGATTTTCTTCAACCGCAACAAACCTTGAAGGATTAAAAAACTACCTCTACGGTATCCCCCATCTTCTTGATTATCTTGATCATTTTCAAATTCACAGATGTATCACGAGCAGGGTCAATTATGCGTTTCACAGCGTTAACAGCCATTGGTGCCAGAAGCCATGAATGTTGCGAAACCACCTGGAAATCAACACAATTCAGCTAAAACGATCCAGCAATCTGTTAGAAACACATTGTATGACACATAACACACTTTTCCAACACTTGGGCAACCCTGGTCCGCACCAGGCGTGATCGGCTGTGTGGCATGTTGCGAGTATGTAGTCTACTTAAAGAAAGGAGATTCGGTCATCATTTGGTCTTCCAACAAAGACTCCGCGCTTTTAGTAGCAGCAAAAGCAGTATTCCCCTACAGCTACGGACCTGCCCTTTTCGAGCACGAAAAAGATTCACCGCGCGATTGTATTTGGGGAAATGAAAGGAACAATCAATTACAACTATGTTGTCAAGACAATTCTGTGGAAAAAAAGGACTGAATCAAATCAGAAACCGCGGCTATCCGATGAAAACTTTGAGTTGTACCAAAAAAAAGAAACCTTCGAGTTCAACGAAGTAGTGGCCATTTTGACAAGAAGTTCTTCGTTGCTGAGATCAACAGGAGAGCTCATCCCTTCCAAAACCTTCACGGCTTGCTCAGCAGCAGCTTGGAACGACTCAGAAATGGTGGTAGGATGAATTCCTGAAAAGAAGTAAGATATCTTAGACACTCATTGGATAATGTAGGCATGAGTCAAAAACTATTATTTACCCTTTTCAAGCAAAGACTGAGCAGCATCTAAAAGTGCACCAGCAATAACCACAACTGTAGTTGTTCCATCACCAGCCTCGATATCTTGAGCTTTTGAGAGCTCGACTAGCTACAAAATATTAATTACCGCAAGACGAAAATGTCAAAATAGAAAGATAGAAAATGCAGAGAATAAAACATCTAAACATCTGTGGTAAGAGGGAGTCGAAAAGACAGCATTTCCCATGTTTATCTTTTTTCACCTCATCCCAGACACATAACACTTGGGGGACATCTTCCCCGCCCCTTTGCATCTTTTGCCAGCCGAGGCTGAGGGTGAGGTGACGACGAACAGAACCATCGCGCGTTCGGACGGTCCCTACGAGCCTTTTTCTGAGTTTCAGAGGTTCGCCGAAACTATCAGTAACGGATGAGCGATTTCTGGCTAATCTCAAGCCAATAAGTTTCCCTACTGACACAAAAATTATGCACTGCATGAACGAGGCTCAGTTTGACTCTGCCGTTATGCTGCATCGTGGCGTTGGAACGCCAGCAGTCGTGGTCGCGCGATCCAGTCGCTCGAGCAGCCGATCGCGGATCCAAGGGACTGGATCGCCAAGTCCGAATCCATTCTTACACTAACCTAGGCATAGGCTCAGAGCTCAGATATATCGCAGATAAATGACCATGGTTGCTAAACATTGAAAAATATAAAAACACATGTGTTGAGCCATGAAATGATCTTTTCAAGCGAAGTACTACGTGGGGATGAGACTCCTGCTTTTTGTGCTGTTATTGTTTGATAACTGCTGTTTAACGCCGCAGTGCGCGATCCGAAAGTTATCACAAGAATGCTGAGTTGTGGGCAAAAGTCGGACCACGGACGGGATTCGAACCCGCATCTTCTGCTTACCGGGCAGTTGCGTTCCCTATTACGCTACCGGGGCCACTCTTTGCCAACTCAGCTCAATGGTTATTTGTGCCTACTCTGTTGTTGTGTCCTACCTCTAAGCACTCGTTAGGGAAAGGGAAACAACGGCGCAGGTGCGTGGCCCGCTCAACTAGAAGAACTCAATGTTTGATAGAAACAACACATACGTACCATCTTAGCAGTGGGGTGGATAACACTCATTTGATTGAGGATTGTAGCTCCATCGTTCGTGATGGTTACGTCTCCATTGCCCGACTGAATCATCTTATCCATTCCACGTGGACCAAGCGATGTTCTGACAGCATCAGACACTGCTTTAGCAGCAATGATATTGCTGAATAGATCATATTTGAAAACACTGAATTATGAAAGGAATTTCTGATAATAAAAAATCGTGAGCATTAGATCAGCTGGTACAACAAGGCTTAGGATTGACAGTCCGTGACAGGAGATCCAATAAGTAGTCTGATATTCATTTGATTCCATCTAGTATCCTAATCTTAATTAGCTCCTTTGAAATTTTCTCGAACGAGTTAGGGGGGGGGGGAGGTGATTCAAAGAAGTCACCTAGTTTTCGTTTCGCATAAACCCTTTGAAAGAACACCGAACAATTTGTTTATCCCTTCTATCCCACATATCATGTTCTGCTGGAAAGGTCAAATTTTTCGTTCCTTTCTCATGTTAACAAAATTATTCGAATTAAAGCGATAGTTCAGTGTGCTGATGCTTAGAAGATGCTGATTGCTCCTTCAAATTGTCATAACGACATTGCCAGGAGACGAAATGAGAAAGAGGGAAATGAAGAGAGCGTGGGCAACAATGTCCCCTCAACGGAATACCGAAAGACAACGAGAATACCGACATTCTTTACCCCTGCTGCCGCACTCTTTGAAATTCCGGCCAGAACTAGAAAAAATTGATTGAAAAATTTTCCCATCAGTAAGGCATTGTTCACACTCTGCGGTCCAGCGTTTCTCTGAAACGCGGCGGTTCGGCGAAAAGCTTTCGATACATATCGACTGGCGGTTGGGCGAAGAGCCTGGCGGTTGGGCGAAAGGGTTTTGGTACGTATCGACGGGCGTTTCGCCAAACCGCGACGTTTTTCGCCAGCGAAATCGATACACATCTACTGCTTTTCGCCCAACCGCCCAACCGCGGCGGTTGGACGGTTGGGCGGTTGGGCGATTCTCCGATCGATGACTATTTATTGCTTTTCTCCCAACCGCCGTTTCGTCAGGGCCTGGAGACTGTGAACAATGGCTAAAGTGGCCCGGATGTACTCACTCCGAACATGAATACAATGCCTACTTGGATCAGAATCGCTTCGTGCTCGTGCCGCAGACACCTCGAGACCTCGAATTTGCCGAAAACTATGTCCGAGCAGTAGTACCAACTTTCCATTACGAATATAACCTAGCGTGTAAACCCCTGGCAAGTGGGCCACTGGCGCCGGCGCATTAACAATGGCCTGGCGCCCATGGTGTGACGCCAAGCACATTCGTTACAGACGGATGTGATATTCGTGGGTAGAAGGTCAAATTATTCTCGGACGCGAAGATAAATCTTTAGAAGATAATTTTCTATTAAATTCAGACCTGAATTTCAAAGCGAGCAGTAAATGATGAAAACTTCCTAAAGTCTGGATAAAGACGTGCTTAAATACGATTCCAAGGCTATTTACTACCATGCAATCTTTTGAGGAAGTCTTGACCTGTCGCACATCTGCAGTGTACGAGCCTTAAAACAAATGACTTCGTAATGCAGTTCAAGTCAAGTTACATATCATTTCTGGCCTTCCACCTTGAAAACATTTACCAGCGACGTTGTAAAAGCGTAGACAGATTGATCAACTACATAATGGGGGAAGCTAAAGCTCGACTCCTTCCATACCTGTTACGGACGCCTTCCGGCTTATCTTTGTCCTTGAAATACGACTCCTTTCCCGAAGGTCGAGATGCAGGTGCTGGCTTTGCTGACATCTTAAAAGCATACCTATACAGCTACTCACGACGTTTCATACATCCAACAACGATAAAAGACGAAAAAGAGCTTATTTCCTTTCTAAAGCGCACACACACGGAAGAAATAATATGTTATCAACAACTTGATAAACGGAGCGAAAAACAGAAAAACAGAAACAAGCAGCTTCCAAGGGGAAGAGTTGCATTCGCAGAAAACTCCAGCTTCACCGATACATGGAGGCAAGAACAGGGTGTTCGTTCCGGGACCCTTCGCAAAGTGTTGCATTGGAGCGCTTTTGTTGGTGCAGTTCTTTCGAATTTCGGCTCTGACTGTTATGCTTTTCAGCTAAGAATACATTAGAGCACTGTTCCTTAATGCCGTTGGAGTTGTTCGAGGATGAAAATCCTCGCACCTGTTTCTTTCTGGTCATAACTGAAGCGTGACTTATATTCTGACGGTTTTCCCTTGTTTCGTTTTCCCGGCTCCTTTATCTTTTTCTTTATCTTGTATTCACCAATGCAGACCAATTTGGCAAGACTCTGTAGTCCTCATTTGCCTATTTCAAATGAATCCGTAACGTCGAGACATATAGAAAGTAATGCAAATAGGCAAATTTAAAGATCATCAGTAAAAATTAGGAAAGGCATTTAGGATGAAACAGCCGGAGGATGCTCCTTCAGTGAGTACAGCTGACGAGAAGGAGCCCACAGAAAGTGCCGGAGAAGACAAGATTTCTGAAGAGTCCGGTTTCGTGAAGCCCGTTTTGCATAAGAAAAGAACAGCTGACGATGCTGGCGAAGGACCTGATACAAAGAAGGCACCTGGTGGGTCTGACTTCTTTTTGTTGGAATTATTACTTCTTATTCCATTTTGTAATACCTCTACTATTCAGAGCGTAAGCTGAAATTCGAGTCCACTTATTTGAGATCTATCCCGTCAGCAAGCCAATACGAGAAATCATTTATGCATCGCGATGTTATAACCCATGTTATCGCCACAGAGTGGGTTCCCTAGCTATCAAAAGCCAATCTCTGATGTCGTAACGCTTCGGACTTCATCACTTTTCAGGACTGATTTTATTATAACTGCTAGTTGTGATGGCCATTTAAAGTTCTGGAAGAAAAAGTATGCCGAAGGGATCGAGTTTGTCAAGCATTTCCGTTGTCATTTAGGTATGTGAAGCTGCATGTTTTTTGTTAGATATGGGCTCGTAGGAGACTTCTTTCCAATTTCAGCTTCGTTCTCTGATTTGACCGTCAACTTTAATGGAACGCTACTAGCCACGGTATGCCAGCAGGATAAAAATGTGAAGGTTTTCGACGTAGAAAACTTTGATATGATCAATATCCTCAAATTTGACTTCGCGCCCAGACGAGCTTGTTGGGTACATCAAGGTAATATCCTACACTACACTACTTGTGGATTCTAACATAGTTTGGCGAGACTACGCTGCATCGCCTTTGCGTTCCTTCCCCTAACGAACGCTTTCTATGATCACTATGACCTCGCGTATTCTAATTTTCACGTGTGTTAACACACCCTGAAGTCCCCTTAGTCTCCCTTTGAAAACCTCATTCCCAGGCATACTACATATTTTTTCGTACCTGATGCTTTGACAGCCGTTATCCTTTATCTTACTCTTACTGCGCTATCTCTCGGTGCATCTGGTCGTCTGCGCTCTACTCCTAAACATTGAATAGGGAAGGGTCGCAGAACTACCGCGCCTCCTCGCTTAACTACTTTAGCATCTTATTGTGTACTTTACTACCTTTTGATTCGTAAAATAGTGTAGACCAGGCGCTCTAAAGTCCACGATTTAGGCGCTGATGCGGTCAACTATCTAGCTGTTTGTGACAGTACGTCCGGCAAAATAGTTATTGTGGATGGTAAGGGAACAAGTACAGCTCTGGTCACTCTAGAGAAGCATCATTACGTCCCTGTTCGACTGATCGAAGTAGGTTGAACTACACCCTTTTTTCCTGCCCGGGTACCTATTACCCGATGCTTACCAGTCAGTTGGAGCATAATTGTTGTTTGTTTAGTACAATCATGCGACTGATATAGTAATCTCCATAGACGATTCTGGAATGATAGAATATTGGAGTGGAGCGAAAAGGGAATTCAAGTTTGCCGAAAATGTGAAGTTCAAGTATAAGACCGAGACGGATTTGTATGAGTTCATGAAGGTAACTTGCTGACGTTTAGAAACACTCTCCCCCCTCCCTGACCGTTTTCATCTTTCTGCTCATCTTCAGGCCAAAACTGTTCCTGTTTCTTTGGCAATCAATCCAAAAGGAACCATGTTTGCCACATTTGGAGAGGATCGGCGGATACGAATTTTCTCCTTGCTCACAGGGAAGCTGCTAAAGACTTTAGATGAGACATTGAACAAATACCTCACGGAGGTTAAGGAACAACGGTACGGTTAGAGGTGTTTCTCTCCCCTTCTTCCGCTCTCTATTTTGGCTTTAAAGTTCTTATGGTCTCCAAAATATGGAATGGAATCGGCGTGTAGCCTTAGAAAAAGAGATGGATAAAGACCGAGCGAACGCTTTCAAAAATGTCAAGCTGTGTTGGGACTATTCAGGATACTTTGTGCTGTTTCCATCTCCAATTGGGATTAAGGTGCGTCTTTCCTGGAAAGAATGTTTACAGAAGACGATGTCATTGAGGTGACGTTTGACTCATCCAGTTTTGCTGAGACTGGTTGAATTCCTTAGGACAGCGAGCCTTTGTCTAGGTTTACAACGTTTATACCGATTGCGTAGTACGTGAAATTGGAAAAGAGGAAACCATGCGATTTGTAGCTGTTTCGCTTTGCAGGTACATCCCTCCTTTATACTTATTCGTGCTTTCCAAACCTCTGTCAGCGTATAAAGGTTCATAGTGGAATACATCTGTGTTCAGGTCAGTGCCGGACATTCGAGCTCGGTTACAAGGAGCTGCGGCAACAATTGAAACTGAAGCGGCAGATAATCCAAATTTGAATAGAATTACCGATCCCGATCCGATCATGGTGAGTAGTATTACTGAACTTACCTTCTCTCTTTGTCCTGACATTCTCACGAGATGTAGTCTCATTAGCTGCGAACGAGGGGGATGGGGCGAATCACCACGGCTGCGTTCGGCGCGGTGCCAAACCGTTTTTTTTTCTCTCGGCAAGCGACAAGACCGCACCGCCGCACCATTCCTATCAGTCGTTTCCCACCAGTTGTTGTCACTTGCTCTCCCCATCAGCTGCTGGAGGATGGGGTTACAGTGCGCCAAACGCAACACGCCCCATCATTAGCAGCGAACCAGACTGTATGCGCTCATCCTGGAACTTTAGGTGTGCTGTGCCCTCAAGAAGAATCGTTTTTACTTGTTCACGAATTCGGAGCCCTTCTCAACTGATGAATCTGATGAATCAGCAGTTAGTCGAGATGTATTCAATGAACGGCCACGAAAGGAAGACCAGTTGACTGCTGTTGAGGTTGTTGCGCCATGATTCACAGAAAAGGGATAAGAAAAATTCACTTTCGCCTAATTTCAGCAAGAAGGTGATATTGTACATACAACTGAAGAAGCAGTAATTCACACGACAATGGGAGATATCCGAATTCGTCTATTCCCGAATGAATGCCCTCGAACTGTTGAGAATTTCAGTACTCATGCAAGAAGAGGATATTATAATGGGTTAACGTTCCACAGAGTGATTAAGTCCTTTATGATACAGGTAAGAAAATTCACAATTTTGGTATCGTAGTGCTGTTCTCCTCTCCTCCCATTTTCCGAGCGCTTGAATCTAACGTTGTAAAGAAAAGTAAAGAGCAAACGACTGAAGAATGAACACTCCATCACAGGCCTTGCAAAATGCTTTGACAATTCTGCAAATGCTATCACCATACCATCTTTACTATATCGGGCGCTTCACCGTACCATCCTCACCATATCGGGAACTGACTTTGCTTGAAGGGGTAGTTCCGGACGAGCAAGAGCTCCCATCGAATTTTAAAATTTTACTCTCGTGTGGTCAACAAAAGAAGCAGTAAAAATTACTCTCCGACGCCCTCCCTCTTCAATGCAGGAAGCTAGCCTATATAAACCTCACCTTATCATTGGGGTGCTTCCACACTTTGCGGCAGCAATTCCTTGTCGGCGTGTTGAGCGACGAGGGAAGTATATGTACAGTATAGGTATCGATCCCGCGTTTTGTGATAATGGATACCCATATTTTCTTACAATTAGTCACTTAAAATGGCTCATGGACGCTCGAAATTATAAGTAGATACCTGCAGACCCTCAAAACGCCAAAAACGCTCCAGGCACAGGCAGTCGCTCAAAAAGCTGCCGCCAACTATAAATGCACTCTTGCTGCATTTTTGTTAAGCACATAAGTGTGAAACTGCAGAAACTGAAGGGAGCTCACGTACAGCCATGCACCCTCAAAAAGAGAAGGCAGATGCCCCATAATTCACCGATATATAACGAAATGTGTTACAACTTGCTGTGTTTTTGCCTCCGAGAATTTTCCCAATTAGTTTATTACTGGAATGTCAGTATGTGAGGGATTTCGACCATATGCATCACAATTACGTAGTGTGCCATAATGAAAACTGAAAACTGATTCGGAAACATAACTGTATTAGTCGGAGTTCACAAGGTGCATCGAGAGCAAGAAAAGGAAACTGAAACACAGACCTATTTGGAATAATTGCAGACTGGTGATCCAACTGGTAAGGGTACAGGAGGGCAGTCAATATGGGGAGCGGATTTCGAAGACGAATTCCATCCTCGACTCAGGCACGACAAACCGTTCAAGGTAGTTATGCTTTAACCTGCAAGCTTTTGTTTTTTTTTCATATGGTACCTGATAGTTTTGTAGGTGTCCATGGCAAACGCTGGTCCAAATTCAAATGGTTCTCAATTCTTCATCACAGTTTGTCCAGCGGAATGGTTGGATGGAAAGAATACCATATTCGGAGAGGTATGGCTGATTAACCCATTGAAGAAATCGTTAACTAGTTCATACTTCGCAACTCGAGCGATTCGATCGCGCGACCGCGACTGACAGGGTTCGTTGGGCCGCTACAAACTCCCAATTTGATCTCATTCGGAATAGAACTTATTTTGAACTGCAGCAACGTGCTGAACGATTAGGCAGCGTTCATAGTTCGCGACAGCAGCGGCGATCGCCGCGATCGTCGGTGCATGGCAGCGCGCGCCCCAACGCTATTACTTGCGCTCCGAAGGCTTCTGGGGGTAAGCGGCTCAATTTTATGCTTTTTTTTCCTTTAACTGCAATTTCCTTAGGTACTGAAGCTTGGTTTGACACAAGGGAAGGTGAGCCCAGCTTAATCGCTTTTGTTTTCTATTTTCTTTCTTATTTAGGATAGAAATGAGCAAAAAGCGCGAGAGCTTCACTTAAGGTACGTTTATTGCTTCTTTTTTTTCATTCGTCGAGGTTGTACATGAGGTTTATGAAGTTTTCACCTGTTGATGTCGCGTAAAATGATTAGTGCTTTGGTTCCTAGGTGAGTTTCTTTCTGTTTCTTTTTTTTCTTCGTTGTTTGAACTCGACTTGTAAACTATGAATGTTTTGGAAGTTGGAACAGCTTAGACGATAGGAATTCCTGAGGCGCATGCATAAAATTGAAACAATAAAAACAAAAAAAATGAAGCTGTGTTGTCAGACCATTTGTTTCCTAAGTTATCTCTATTCAGTCATTAAGTTGTGCCACTTTATTTTATTTTAGTACATTTTTTCTTTCCATTTCTTCTCTTAGTTAATATTGCCATGTTTCTCTTACCGCGTTCGCTATCAGTTTACTGACTGTGGCGCGTCCATTGGGCGCAAAATAAATAAATAAATAAATAAATAAAAAGCTCACCCAGGAAATGGAGTTGGTCTTACCCCGACCTAAAAGGAAGTGAAACCTTCTTACCTCATATTCCAGATCTGCTTATGTGTAGAAAGTCGTAGTTTGTCTGTTAGTAGCCCTTATTAAGAGTAAAGAAGGTCTTACAAGTTGAATTCCCTTATTCATCAGGCGAGCATCCACAATAGCGTTGGGGCGCGCGCTGCCATGCACCGACGATCGCGGCGATCGCCACGATCGCGGCGATCGCCGCTGCTGTCGCGAACTATGAACGCTGCCTTAGTGATAGAGCGCGGTCAGTGACACTCGCGCAAGTGAATCGCTCAGGTCGCGAAGTATGAACGCGACCTCTGTACTGATGAACACTATTATTGTAAACTAGTCGGATCGCCCAGCTGTGGCCGGGCGCTCCTCCTTCTGTAACGTGGCACGGCTTCGCCGGGCCATGCGAATTTGCCGCGTGCTAACAAGGGAATGGTTTGAACTTCCCATGGAACTTTGAATGGAGACCTAGGTACATCGATAGAGCCTCGAATGCTGATTACGAATATGCAGATTAAAAGTGCTACGGGGACCTCCCAGACGAGATCTGGGTGGTCAAAGTTTGCGAAAGCCAGTTTTGGTTCATAAGCGCTGCTGATCGATGCCTCGGCAGTGCCACCGTGGCCTCGTGGTAATGGTCTCGCTTTCAAGTCAAACGCATGCGGGTTTGCATCCGGTTGGCGCGAAAATTTTTGCTTCGCTCCGTATAAGAGCTTCAACTCTAATTCTTCCGAATTTACGGCCCAGCAGGGCAAGTAGATCAAGTACATCAAGTATACGACGTACTCGATCTAGTATGGATTTGGTCATATCTGCCCTCTCTGAACATATTACCCATCCGACAATTCAAAGTTTTGCCCAGAATCGCAATTTGGCCAGACGAGCGTTTTTTCGTCGAAGGATGTCGATATTCGTGTCCAGGGGTCGGAATCTTCCTCGCTAAAACTTTGAATTGTCGGATGGGTAATATGTTCAGAGAGGGCAGATATGACCAAATCCATACTAGATCGAGTACGTCGTATACTTGATGTACTTGATCTACTTGCCCTGCTGGGCCGTAAATTCGGAAGAATTTCGAAAATTAGAGTTGAAGCTCTTATACGGAGCGAAGCAAAAATTTTCGCGCCAACCGGATGCAAACCCGCATGCGTTTGACTTGAAAGCGAGACCATTACCACGAGATCAGCAGCGCTTACGAGCCAGAACTCAAACTTTGACCACCCAGATCTCGTCTGGGAGGTCCCCGTAGCACTTTTAATCTGCATATTCGTAATCAGCATTCGAGGCTCTATCGATGTACCTAGGTCTCCATTCAAAGTTCCATGGGAAGTTCAAACCATTCCCTTGTAAGTTACGGATCGTTGACCAACCACACTGTTCAAAGGAATCTTCTGCATCAGCCAAGAACTGAAAAGCAGCGCTCGTTCCGTCAAGACGCAAGCAGCAGCAGCGCCCCGCATCACAGAAGGAGGAGAGCCGGCCTTAGCCAGCGATCCGACTGGTACGTTCATAACCTACACGGGAATAGTGCAGCCTGTTAGGATAGCCGCTGAAGCAGCCTATAATTTATGCATTCTGTCCTCCTAAAGCGTCTTGCTTTGGAATGCACTCCCGCATTCAGCAGTGGAACCCTTTAAATGGCCCTCACTAAGGTTGTTGATGGAAGATAATTGTGGTAAGAGTGATTAAGTCAATTGCTGCTGTTCATAACATCTCTGTAAACAAACCCCATGCATTTGGAATAGAGCTAGCTTAGCGGTCGTACATGATGTCGTTACTAATAAGCAGTGAGGAATGAGTTCTGTTGGAATCATTGAGATCGTTATACTTGAGTCATATCGATCGCATTGTTGGTGAAGCGGATTTTCCCATTGTTACCTTGTCACTTTTAGCTCCTATCACTTCCGTACCCGCCAATAACACTCCCGTCCCGTATCACTATCATATCACCCTGTATCGCCTCTCGGATCCGAGGTCCCACTGTTGCTGTAACCTGCGTTGAATTTGATGACCCTCCCCTTCCGAAGCCGCTTATCGTATCTTATCAACTGTTATCACTTTCTGTCGCCCGCCAAATGTTCCCGTCCCACACCCTATATCACCTCACGTATCTGAGTTCCCACTGTTGCTGTAACCTGCGTTACGAATTTGATGACCCTCCCTTCCGAGGCCGCTTATCGTGTTATCTTATCAATGTTACCAATTTCTGTCACCCGCCAATAACCAATAAATTCCGCTCCACACCCTATGATCACTCTCGGTCCAGGGACCCACTGTTCCTGGTGAGCGCGCCACTATGAAACTGGGTAGTCCTTCCCTTCTACATGCCCCATTTATCAGATCTTACAACCTGATTTTCACAGGCATTGTCACTCCCACCCACCTACCAATAATGTTTTCGTCCCACCCCCTATTTCACTGCTCGGAACCAACGTCCCACTGCTGTGGCCCGCACTATGGACTGGGTGACCATCCCCTTTGGACGCCTCTTATCGAATCTTATCAACTGATATCACATCCTGTCACCCACCAATGGTGTTCCCGTCACACCCCCTCCATCACTTCCTGGAATCAACGTTTCTCTGCCACTGGGACAGGTGTTATGAATTTCGTGACACACACACAGACACACTTAGCGGATTATATATAGTAGGATGATGATATGCTTCAGTGAAGTTCGGCCTAGTCCATCATACAGGATACTCATTTATTTCAGGTAATTGAGGGTATGAACGTGGTACAGAAAATCAACCAAGTGCCGACTTTTGAAAAAAGTGGGCGACCACGCTCAGAGATTTCTATAATGTCTATTACTCTGAAATAGTGTTGTTACGCTGATTGTTATTGTTCTTACTGCATTCGATTGTTCGATAACAACCTTGTTCACATTCGATGGCACTACAAACAGGTCAATGAAGGATCTCTACAACTTCTTTTTTTTCTTTCGTCGACCGTATGCTTAAGAACAAGTCTGGTACCGCATGCGTTTATTTTTGGAAAAAAGTATCCGGGAAAAGCACAACCACTCATTAGCACGAGCACAGTCAGCAAACGTCAGTACGCTGGCAGCTCCGAGAAGAGAATATGAAACCGTTCCACGAAGCTGCAGGCAACAAAGGCGTGGTAGCTCACCATGCAAGCCGCTGTCATGTAGGCATTAACCAGATCCAGTGGGTCCGAGCCACGCAATTTATCGCCTTGTTCTCATTTGCTGGAGTGACGACCGTGGCGCACTCCTCGATTACGAACCTGGCTACTGTCTAGGGGCTTCCCAGGGATCGCTCGATCGCGGCACTGTCTTCAAATGTGTAATCAGGCACAAACATGGTGCTCGAGAAACAGTTCGGACTCAATGGAGATGATGCTGACATCAACCGGGTCCCCGACGGGGTCATATAGTATGCGTATGAGTCATTGAGTGCCTAGGGTGTCGATGTAGGACATAGTATGGCCCTATGGCCTACATCGACGCCCTAGGCAAACTTGGGTTCAGTTGTTTAGCCTTCTGATTTGTAGTAAAAACGCTGCAACTCTTCCTTGCAGCTGGTTTTTGTATGTGATGTGCAATCCTGACGTTTATCGGGCGTTGAGGTTTGAGCCATACGAGTAGCCCAGAGAAAAATAGCTACATTCATTAGCTTCGAAAATATTTAATTTAATACAGTTGCTATAGGGAACTAGTATAAAAGTAACTGCTGAAAACCACTACGAAATTGGTACACACCAAATAGAGTAGAATCAGGTGACTTTGTGATGGCTCTCCCTCCTTCAAGGTTTCGCCAACTTTCGGTGGCGCTTATTTGAAGACGGAGACTTTTTCATATCCTTTTGCGACCTGCGGCGCTTCTTCGATGATGAAGACTTTCCTGGTGTCCTAACGATAGGAGCAGCCTGTTGCACAAGAACTCTCTCATTCTTTGCCTCAACTGCTGGATGAAACTTCGGCATTGGAACTACTGCAATCACTTTAGTGGATTTTCGATTATACGGTGCGTCAATGATATGCCCCAGAAATCTCACTGGTGAGAATCTACTCTGACCCATGCGAGCTCCAAAACCCTTGGGAGTTTTTCCATCGTTTTTTCCTTGAGGTGCTTTAGAAATTCCCTCCGGTGACCTCCGGAAATCTTGTCCAAGGTATGCAAACTGTTCTCTACGCTTTTTCCTAGAACTCTCTCCAATTAGGTTGTCCATGAATCGCGCTGGTGATTCCGGTTGGAGCTCTTCTCGCTTGTCAATTTTGCGGTGCAGATCCGTCTTCCCTGGTCGTTGTTGTTCGCGAAACGCTTCGTCTTGATCTTTTTCTGAGAAGCCCAGTTTTTTCCGTCCTCTCTTAGCCTGAAATTTCAAAAAGGAAATGATATACATATATATATAATTAGAAATCCTCGGTATCCCTTCCTCTGCCGCAAACGCAGGAGCTCACCTTTAACTCAAGAATCTGTTGCTCTTTAGATGCCCAGTAGTCCTGCATGTCTTGTCCTTTTCGTCGTTTTCTGCTTTCCACTGCAATTTGCTCTTCATTGGGCTTCATCTCCATCGTAGTACTCTGTGAAGGCTCTTTTCAGACTGATCGAGCTTTAACAAACATTTTAAGTGCACCCTTCTGGTCATACCTATTGACCGGACCCATTGACATATGATGCTGAAAACCTTGTATTTTCAGTCTGTACCACACCCAAGACATCACTATAACTCTGAATCGAGGTGAGATGATGTGGAACTTTCACCCTGAGGGTGGGACGATTTGATTGGTTACTTGCGAAAACCACGTTTACCTTCCCTGAACGACGCAGCGAAGTGCTCTTTAGTCTACAGAAGGACACAGCACGAGATATCGTGCTGAATCGTGAACTCCCCTAGCGACAGTCCTAGTTCCAATGCCGTCGACATCCGAACCAAATCCGTGCCATTGATGAGCAAAATGTCAGGTGGCAGATCGCTGTGAGAGAAATGGGTGTGGTTGGAGTAATGGAAAAAGTACGACCAACAAATCGTTCATCTGACGCTAAAATTCAGAGGTCGAGATCACCTTTATCATACATCAGACAGCAGGTGCGAGGTCATCTTCATGGATTTTAGATAAATCGTTTTCTCCCAGTTCTCCTATCTAATCCGTTGCCCGAACGGACGTCGATAAGCCCTACGGTCCTCCAGCATCCCCTTCCCCCCCTCCGCCGTCTTCATGATTCACCTGGCAGCTGCACGAACCACAGCATTACGGAATGATTGAAACAGTAATGGTATTCAGAAGATTCCACTCACGAGTTTCTCAAGTGCTTGAGGTTGCTGTTTCTCCTGCTCCAAACGCCTCATTTTACCAAGCTCGACATTCTTCTCGTAGTCTGTCATAACAGTTGCTCCTCCAGGGTGGAACGTGAATCGATCCCTCATTATGCTCTCTTTTCGATAGGAAAATCTAGGGGGATCGCAACCACCCTCACTGTAGATCTCCTCAACCACCTCAGCGGGAAGTCCAGCAAGGTGGAATGGATGGAAGCTCATCCTAGAAATAATCAATTGCAATGAAGCATCACTAGGCAAGTACTGATCTTTTACGGTAAAATCACTGACACATTAGGGTGCATCTTCTGAAAAGCTGCCATCGCATCGTATGTATCGAGCCAGCTGTTGGCGCCCTGAGTTGAATAAATTACCGCAGTAATCATCTCGTGATCCTTACGAATGGTTTGTATTTTCACACTTGTCATGAACATGTTCCATGAATTACTGTTGTTTTGTAATAGTTTACGTTTGTCAGTTCTCTAGTCATACAGTTTCAGAACGTATAGATTCGGTTTCATGCAAAGTTTTTTTGTTAGTTCAACCCCTACTCACGTCCAATTTCGTCCAATTTCTTATACTGTAGCCGACAAAGCCAAACATCTCGTGATCCTTACGAATGGTCCTCTCCTAGCGTCAGCGCCGTCGTAGGGTCCGCTATTATGGTTAGACGTCGCCGCATGCTGCGATTTTATGTATACCGTTTTCACTTTAAATTCGCCCTTTTTCAAACCAAATTCGTCCTTTTTCAAACCAAATTCGTCCTTTTTCAAACCAAATTCACCCTCACTCTTCATCAAGAACCACACTTATTAGGGCGGGCAACTCATCAACCAGATCACGCCAGACATCACTGCGAGCCCCGACGGCCACGCCCACTTGTCAGCGCGGACATAGATTCTCAAATCTTGTTTCATAACTTCTGCTTTTGCTGTTTCCCAAAACACTTTGACTGGAAACCACCGTGCATTCACACATGGCCGACTCCGCCCATTCTCTAAAGGGTTTGGCACTCTAGGCTGACCACGCCCACTGGCTTTTCGCGGAATTTCGATGTTTTTTCAAAATTTTTGCAATTTAGGGTTGCTGCGTGAAGCCCCGCCCTTTGTGAGATGCTCCGCCCACTTTGAATAAGCCCGCCCACTTTTCAAAAATGGTGCAGATCGGCAGTATAGAGACTTGGCTTGCATGTTAGGGTCTCGTACGTCACTCGGAACAAGAAAATCCGGCAAAGTTTATTCCGAATGATCAGCAATACCCTAACATGCAAGCCAAGTCTCTATGCACTGCCGATTTGAAGTGCGGGCCATTAAAGGCGGAGCATCTCCAAAGAGGGTTCACGCAGCAACCCTAAATTGCAAAATTTTGAAAAAACATCGAAATTCCGCGAAAAGCCAGTGGGCGTGGTCAGCCTAGAGTGCCAAACCCTTTAGAGAATGGGCGGAGTCGGCCATGTGTGAATGCACGGTGGTTTCCAGTCAAAGTGTTTGTGGGAAACAGCAAAAGCAGAAGTTATGAAACAAGATTTGAGAATCTATGTCCGCGCTGACAAGTGGGCGTGGCCGTCGGCGGGGCTCGCAGTGATGTCTGGCGTGATCTGGTTGATGAGTTGCCCGCCCTAATAAGTGTGGTTCTTGATGAAGAGTGAGGGTGAATTTGGTTTGAAAAAGGACGAATTTGGTTTGAAAAAGGGCGAATTTAAAGTGAAAATGGTATATGCATTCTGCTCTCGTGCCAACTAGATTGAAGCCGTTTGTGTTATCGCCTTGACGACTTCATCTCTGACTCTCTCTAGTCGAGTACAGCCGCTGGCCATCTCACAACAGCAGCATTCTCAGTCTAGTTGAGTAGAGCTTCCTTCCATGACTCGGTTTATACAGCCGCCAAGTTCTTCATGTAAAACCGCTTTGCAGTTCGGTTCGCCTCGCTTATTGTTATTCGGTTTTCATGCGCGCAAGAACTCAATGGCCCACCGCGTCTATTGAAGGAAGGAATGGACGCTTCCTTGAAGATAAGCTATCTACAGTATGAATTGCATGAGGAACGAGAACTCAGTCACCGCTTGCAGTGCTTGAAGTGTGCATTAAAGGCAGTTGGCACGATAAATCCCCCAAGACGACTAGGATCAATACTCCTGGCAGGATAGAATTCCGCGACCCTGGGCAGGCGCGCTGCATAGCGGTTTCCCCGAGGAAGGTGCCCTTATAAGGGCCCTATCAAGCCACACTTTACGTCCCAAACGCCCGCCCGCCCACAAATGGACGACCGTTCCTGACGCTCGTATTCATTCATTTGCTAAGCAAATTATGAAGCGAAGGGATTGGTATGAAGCGGCCGTGATGCTGCATGCATACATGGGTACACATATGCAGCCGTATCTTCGGTAGCGGTGATTGGTAAGATGCCTACGGGAAACTCGTCCGAAATCGATTTACAAGTCACTGAGAACGGAGGCTTTTTCTTCGCAGGATTTTGACCGTTTCACTCCGTTCTTTCGCCATTTCCCCACTATACAGCGCCCTACTAGCATTTTAGGCTAAGTAGGAAACCATCGTGCCAACTGCCTCGCTTCAAATGTGCAGTAACTGAGCATATGCGATTAAAATGGTTCTGGGATGCCTTCCACTTTGCTAAGGATAATGAACCATCGCTCAAGAGACAGTTATTTTTTGATCACGCTGCTAACTCTTCCGATCTTCGCGCAGACCTTACTGCATGACTTCCCACAGAGGGGCTATAGGAACTTAACTGATCCTAACCCTTCAAAGATCAGAGTATGGGATCCGATACTGCTTTGTTCCAAACGACTTCCTCAATGCAGGACCAGATCTGCCAAAAGCGAATATTGCGAAAAAAAGCTAACCTTGTGCAATCTGGGAAGGACACCAGCACGGAGGGCCCAAATCAACAGGAATTTCATGGCGAATATCATCTCGTTTCTATCGAGCATGAAGCCGTTGCATTTTTCTAAAATTTCTATTTATAATGACGTTCATCTCTCTAGATCTGAAGCATATAAACAAAGCAATGACTGTGAGACCATACCATTGTGTAGTTTGAAAGCGTCGCTTAACTGTATAGGAGTTTCCATTCGAACAACAATGGTATAGAGGAGATTCAGTAATGAAAACACTTCCTTGTGACGATTGCTGACACATAACTGAAAGAACGTCGGTCATCTCCCACTCTGTCACCTTCATCTCTTAAAAAGCTCTTTTCATATATCAATAGTATCTTCTCGAAACATGTTGTGCAAATCGAGCTGATAACATGGCGCCACAGCTCCCGCTTACTTGAATAGCTGTGAGCTCTGGTAGATGGATTGCTCAGCGTCTTGCTGCGGCTTGATGGCAGTGGTGTTAAAAATAGATCAAGGCCAACGAGTGTCCCTCTACACGAATGTTTGGCCAAAAATTCTATTTTGGTTTTAGTTACACTGCGGAGTGCGGATTCGTGAATGCTGATGGACAGTGTACAGACTGGCTAGAAGGTATAGATGCCCTGCCCTTAGCTCTCCAGACAGGAAGTCAAACGCGAGACGCTGAGGGTGCATCGTGGGTAGTGCAATTTCAAACCGGTCCAAACCTTGATTCACGTCAATGAGTATGCAAAGTGGTGGTCCTAGCCCCTTCATATGAAATTTCACACATAAAAAAAAAATCCGGTGGATTTAGGCCCGAGCTGCCAAAGGACAAAAAAGAAGCCAGGGACATCGCAGCCAAGGTACACCATCGCCGATGTTTCCTCATGAGCGCTCTCAGTAAGTTCGGAAAAATATATGGAGGTTCTTCTAGTCTCAAATGACCTCAACTGATTCTGCCGTTAAGGCTAGTAGAACGCTCGCTACCTTTCGTTGATATTCTGTTCAAAAACAAGAGACATTTCGAAAGCAGTTTCATCGTGCGTACTCTTTTCCTTCCAAACAATCTTTTAAGTCAGCCGATCAATCTTCATTTGTTTGGCCGACGTTGGATCATATACATCAGAGAATTTTACATATACATACTTAATACTTAAGAATACCTGACTCGGTTTAACCTCGGTTACTTTCTCGTCTTTCTTTCTCGTGTTTCAGTCTCAACGCTGGGTGTCTGGTCAATGTCTTCTAGTGCGTGGTTGGTTCGTTCACAACCGGTGGTCTATCTTGCAAGATGATAAGAAACTGTTGCGTTAGCTGGACAAACTTTGTATTCAGGGAGTGACTGAATACTCCCGTCTATTATTTGCTATTTCATGATTGAGATCAGGTCACGTACTTCGGCAATATGTTCTTAGGCACCTTCTCTTGCTAATACCATTTGGTAATAGGAGGCTGTAGGCTGGTTAATTAAAAGTATGCTTTGGAGAACGGCCGCGGGCTCGAACTGTGTTACCAGTTGTTTGATGAGCCGGAGGGGTGATGAACCCCTCGCTTGAGGTCCCCCTTGGTTTGTTCGCCTGGGGTCCCGGACGAATTCGTTCGTAACGGGTTAAGTTGTCAGCAAGCCCCAGTACTGTCGTCTAAAATCCTTGCGTTCAGAACCAAGGACCAGGATCTCGCGGGGGACTCTTTCATCTGCCTGAAGGGGAAAACAGCCTTACACTACACACAAGGAAGGTCCCGGTAATTTTTCTGATTTTTCTGATCCCGCTTCGAAACACAGCCTATATGCTTTACCTAGATTTCCTTTGAACTATTCCTAATTTTTTTTGCTCATTCAAATGATATTGATATACCTGGCTGTATTATGCACTAACTGTGTTGGTTTCACTTTCCCATAACTTGTGGCGCACCCTTGAGTGTATATCAATAAATAAATAAATATGACTAAAACAGTCCTTCGACGCGGCGCTATTCTTTCATTGCGTCTCGTAGACTTCGACTTTGTCGCTGTTGACTTCATGCTTTTCACTAGATCTGTTTGCCGTTGCTTACTGAACAATATAACTTACGGACTGATTCGGGTTTTCGCAATATTGTAACAGCCGCAGCACTTCTTCCACACTGATGTACAAATCCAAGCGACCCCTGAGAAATAATGTGGAGGAGATTTCGTCACTGCTTCTCAACTGTACTAGTATATTGCTCGTTCTTCATTTCTTCAATTGTACACCCCTCCGCATATGCGCCAAAAATAAGAATCCTACTATATATAATCCGCCAAGTTGAGTGTGTGTGTGTGTGTGTGTGTGTGTCACGAAATTCATAGCGCCGGTCCCAGTAGCGTTAGGAAGTTAATTCCAAGATATGATATAGGGGTTGGGACAGGAACACTTTTGGTGGGTGACAGGAGGTGATAACATTTGATAAGATTCGATAGGGGCCTTAAAAGGGGAGGGTGAC